AATTATCTTATCTATTTGCTAAGATCAACTTCCTAAAACTTTATGGACATTGACAATGATGACACTGGAAATATAGAAAAAGCATTCTCTTCCCAATGGAAACGGATCGGCCATAGTCAACTCAATTGAACAATGGTAAAGAGAAAAGCTAAGTTTGTGATAGTCCCGTGTATCATTATTAAAGGGTGCATATGTTTATATTGCCAAAGGAAGGGGCATTGATTGCGAAGCAACCAATTTTACCTAAAGATGTTAAAGTCAATAAGTTTGACTCTACTTCAGGTAAAATCCACTATCTAACTCTACTAAGTTTCTATACTAAGATTATTGATACATGATGTGACTGGGTCACATATTGATGTTTGTAAGAATCAAAGGAAAGTGAAGAAACTTAAAGGAAGAATATGCTAAATCTGATCGCGTAGATGGATTTCTATCGCATAGTTTGAAGATTGGATTCTTGAGTTACTTCTTAGGAGTTATGAATTTGATTTTTTCATTTGTGGTAGTGTCTAAATTTACCAAATAAGGAAAGATTCTCATCACCCAAGTTTCAGTTGGATAGAAACTTGGAATCATGCAAGTTGTATGATGAATGAGAATTTTCATCTTTGGAAAATTAAGACTAATTCCTTGTTCACATGTTTAAGAGAATCAAGTAAAGGAATAAGGGACCGAGTACACATTCTTGTGCACTGGTCAAGTCCACCATAAAATATCGATAAGACTATTCTTCATAATTTACTAAAGCTTAGTAAATATGGTTATACTTACAAGCTTAAGTGTGATTTTGAGAAATTGGAAAATGTTCCAATATATGGCAGAGCGAATAAGAAGAATCAAATTAGGTAGAAGGATAAAAGTTTCTCAAATCTGAAAAGATGGGAGAGTACTTTAGTATCATGTCATATCATCATCTTAATGATTAAGAGACCTTATCGCAATTCATCCTCTAAGTGCATTCTGATAGCTAATAGGAGGAGCTATGAATTGTTGAAGTGGACAAATCAAGAAGATGAGTCATACTTCGTTCCAAAACATGTCTTAGAGTCATACTCCAAGACTGTAATTTGAGTGAAATATCTTAAAGAAAGGTTTAAAACACTAGTCAAATGTAAGAGTAAAAGTTTTCTACTCTTGTACATTTGAAATTGGTAAGTTGTGATGTTTTGTATAAAAAAAAGGACCAATTAAGGCCAATTGTGTGAAGTGTTTGTCTTTATTAGAATCCACACTATCTCTTGAATATCTAACAAGAAAGTCTTATATGTCAACAGGACAGTGGGAGTCTTAAAGGTCTTGAAAGTCTCAAGAACTAATCAAGAATAAAACCTAAAGCTCTTCACTAGCACACGACTAGAGGTTTATAACCTATCGTGTTGACATATTTTGTGCCCATTCCAATTAAAGTTGGCTTTTCATATGAGTTCTTAAAGTTCTCAATTGGTTGCACAACAACTTGGAAGCAATGGTAGGCCCTTGAGCTGCCAGATGGAAAGAAACTAACATTGAGTTCAGTCCATATGAGTTTGGATTTGTCATTATTCTTGTCTTGTGACTATGGTTTTGACAATTCACATGGATAAGAACACACACACACACACACACCATTAAATCTAAGTGTCATACGATTTCTCTCTGATTCATGAAAAGGATGGTGAGGAAACAATTTCACTAAGTAGATTTTAGCTAGATAGCAATTGTGATATTTGCATTTTTAAAGTCGTTAGTGGAGCGTGTGTGGTTAACCGGCACACTAACATGGACTTGTGAGCAGCGTCAAAGGTCTAAACAATCAAGACTATAATTACGGCAGCCCTTTTCATAGTTCTTAAAAATTGTTTAGACACACCTGTGAGCTATCTAAGATAAGGTGTATGATATTGATAAAGTTTTATCAAAGCAATCTTGTATCGGAAATCTGAACTTTGGTAAGAAAGTCAATAAAGTATTGTATTTTCTAGAAGTTCAGCTGAGTTCTGAGTACATGTCAATGCTAGTGGAATCATCATGTTAGTGGGAGCATGATAATTATGATAAAGGTTGCAAGTTAGCAATGTTAATTATAGAAAACAAAAGTTTAAATTAGGAAAACGTTGTTTTGCTATAATTAAGGGAGAGGAAATTATACTTAATTTCAATTCTAAAAGTTTAGATTGAGGTTTTAATCAAATTTAGTCAAGAATATATATGAATTTCATAAGGAAATTCTACATATGGGTTCATTATTTGCATTATAAAATTCGATTATGATTACGACATCCCTTTTCATAATCTGAATTATGAGAACTTGGCAAATAGAAATGGAAATATTATAGCAAAAGACTGGTTTAGTCTTTATGTGAGACATCATGAATCGTGTCCCATATGCTTCGGATATAGGATCAATTACATGTGCTATATTCATCCTTTCTAGAATTTTCCAAATGCCTAGGGCATTAAGAAGGGAAAAGGTCTAGAAATGGATATGACTAAAATGATTAAGCAATTGTCGAGGACAATCTAAGGTTTACCAAAGATTGGTTGCTTAGGGACAGTTAGAAGTATAGTGTAAATTGTTGGAAAGACCATTTTGACATATTCTGAAAAGAGGCAACTCTTGTTCAAAAGTGATAGTCAAAAGGGGAATGTAGAAATGATCCCATTGGTGGAAGTTGTTTAATAAATCTGTGTAAGATTAGGAAACTTAATGCAAGAAGGATGTTTCCAATGAGTTGATCTCCTTTGGAATGCTCTGTAATGTTTGTTGTCAAGTCTTTGTGACTTTGTGCATAATCATTACAAGAGAATTATTGCATATAAGTTTAGAATCTAACAGATTTCGGTAAAATGGCATGAATTTGGAATTCCTACATTTGCCATAAGAATTCGGGAGTGTGAAATTAGAATCATTGAAAGTTTGGTCAATTGGTTTATTTCACAAAGTAAGGATCATAGACAAACATAGAGTGCATACTTGGTGTATGGCAAAGCTATTGTTTAGAAAAAACATGATGAACATGCTCGGAGCATAGGACGACTATTGTTTTAATTCAAGAATAAAGTTGACAGTTGAAACAGTATGCAATGACTAATGTGTAATCATATGGTGATAAATAAAAGGTGTTTTATTTATGTTCATAGGTTTTGATACCATATTAGATTCAATTATTCTTGTGTTTCATTTTGCATGTTTTGACTTCTACAATAAACTAGGTTATTCTTCCAGAATGAATAAGTTATTCAAACCATCCACAGTCGGTCATATGTTGGAAGTAGATATGAATCAAGATTGTCATGGGTTGGGCTTGTAGAGGTCTAAGATGTTGGACAAGGTGGTTCTACAACACTCATGAGTGCTCATAAGTTGTGAGTATTGGATTCAACCCACGCTCATTGGAATCACTTCATGGATTTTATCACGAGTGATCATGAGACGATAATATCTTATATTTTTCAAACATAGAGATATGAGTTGTTACTATGAGTTGGTTTTACATTGATTGCACGAAAACACATTTGGTAACTTGATGTTATAAAACGTGCCTTTGTGTATGATTCAACAAGTAGTAGAACAAGCCATATGAATCGAAGTTTATGCATTCCTTTTACCTTCTGGATAAAAGCGATATATGTGGGCCCCTCGATGATTTAATGATGATACATGTGAGTGCTTGGCCAAGCGAGGACTGATTTGATTTGTTCAATCAGTCAGTCATCATGAATCGGAAATCGGGAAACAACAAATGGACAGAGAGAATGATTAATAACCCATGTCTCAGTCCATATGATATCTAGAATGGAGGAATATATGATCCCTTATCTAATGGACAAGTCATTGACAAGGTCAGAGTTCAGTTACAAGGTTAGAGTTCGACAGCGGCTTTTGAGAGCTACGATTGCTAGTTGGGTTTCGAAGTCATATGCAATAATAGTCTTAGACTTATCCAAGTGGGAGACTGTTGGATTAATGTCTAAGTCCATAACTATATTTGGTATGTACTTGACCCGACCCAGCATGGTCCATTTGGGTTGCATGGCATCATGCACTTGGATAGACTAAATGAGAAAAATAAGACACTTATGGTTATTAATATATTATAAGTTCTAATATATTAATAACAAGAATAATAATATTTATTTAGTATTGATCAAGAATTAATTTAGAATTAATTATGTGATCAAAAGGAGACTAATTAAATATATGGGTTGATTGTGTAAATCATCCATAAATTATATAGTGGGCCAAAGCTCCATGGATAATCAAGTTGGGTTAAAGCCATAGGATGCTCCATGGATGATCCATGGAGGTTACATAAGCCATGGGTCATGGAAATGAAAGGTCATGACAATTAGGGCTTATATGGTGTAGCCCTAATTGTAACACACTATATAAGCATCATATTATTCACCAAAATCAGCCACTAGAATGTGTAAAAGAAGGACTAGTCGATTTCATGAAGTATGGATTTCTCTCTAAGTTATTCCAAGAGCATTTGATGTTGTGTGAGCCATTTGAGGTGTCACATTTGAGGCACTAGGCACTCAAGCCCCATGGAGTCAAGCTACACTACAAGAGGTATGTATTCTATCTATATTATTACCCAAGTATCTATGATTATATGCTAGATAGGGTAATACCTTGGAATATTAGTATTTGCATGTATATTAGAGAAAACATAGATCCAAGGTATTTAGGGTTGCATGTACACCATAGGAGTGTTAGAATGTTTAAAATCCGACAGAAAGAACCTGAACAAGTCTTGTAAAGACACGTTATTGCTCAGGTGTGTTTGGAAGCCCTTTCCATTTGAAGTTATCCGAATATGCCTTCCCTTGTAAAAAGTATATTACAAAGTTATGTCAATGGAAGAAATTAAATTGGCTTATAAAAAAACAAACCCATGATTGTTTCATTTAGAGGTAGTTAAAAGAAGTAATTAGAGTTGGTTCTTGAGTGTCAAACCTTCAATAGAGGTGAGTGGTACTTCTTAACCTACAATCAAGAATCACTTAGATGATCAATAAACAAGTTGAAGAACAAAATTTGGGAAATTGAAATGTTTAAAACAAAAGATGATAACAAGAACAAAGTTGTAAAAAAGGTTGTATCCAGTGTAATCCCAACCTTGTCTTTCTACAAATTTGCAAAAAAAAAAAAAAAAATTAGAAAGTTGGACACCACTAAGTAAAATATAAAGAATTACACCAGTACTCCCGATATCAACCTCAGTACCATAATGTCTATGCAAGCCTTCAGGAGCCACATAATATACACTTCCAACAATGTCTCTAAGAACATCTCCTGCAACATATCATCTTAACATGATAAAAGGCAAGAGACACAACAAGATATCATCCCCTTTTTGATGTTAGATTGTTATACAACACTAATTTTGGGAAAAGCATCTTAAATAAATCAAATAGAATACCTGATTTGAAAAACACCGAGAGACCAAATCTAGTAGCTTTCAATGGCGAGTCTTCATCGATACTCAAGAAAAAAAAGTTCTCAGGTTTGAAGTCTCTATGGAACACTCCTATCATATGAAAATCATGCACCACCGTCACCTTATGCTGGCAGAGACGAGCTACCACACACTCTGAATAATGTCCCTTGGCTATAATCCGATCAAATAGCTCCCCGTCGGCACACAACTCCATGATTAGGTTAACTGAGTGTCAATCCTTGTAGGAGCCATGGAGCTCTCGATGAACATCATCGATGTGATCCTTGTTAATCAGCTTCCGCGTCATGATTTACTTAAAAACGAACTATTGGTGTGTGGTTTTATGAGTGACAATATGTGTCACGCCAAATTAGCCGTGGCCTAGCTCTTTACTGATTGTGTAGGTTGTGCGAACTATTCGTGCGAGGCCCGAAGAGTCGGTGCGGGTTGGAGGTAGTGGAGATGGGTATCAAGCGAGGTTTTAGGATTTCTTCTAATCGAAGAAGAAGGGGGAGGAGAGTATTAGGCGGGGTTTTTATGTTTTTTGGGATTTCATTCCCCCCTTGGTAATTAAAAAATTGGAGAACACGCATTCTGAAAAAAAAAATATAAAACGACGGTTTTAGACGACACGCTTTTTTATGATAGGTGCCCTCCATGTTTTAATTTTTTTTGTTAGACACTAATTTTAGGACACGCAAAAATGCGTGTCCTCTATCCTTCACATTTTGGAAAATTGACATTAATTTTTAGGGCACGCAAACATGCGCGTCCTCTATCAACGTGTGTCATTGTTTGCGCGTCATAAAAGGGCTCTTTTCTAGTAGTGTTATATATCTCTAGAAGACTACTTGACTTGGTTTATGGTATCCATGTAATTCCAGATTCTTTGTCCAAGCTTGTTCTGATGTTGATTTAGGAGGATATGGTCTTGATCGAAAAAGTACAACTGGTGGATATCAATTTATTGACAGAAAGCATGTAAGCTATCAATCTAAGAAACAAACCTATTTTTCTTATCAACAACTGAAGCTGAATACATTGGTGCTACTTCATGTACTTCACAAATAGTATAGATACAAAGTCAGTTACAAGATTATGAAATAAGCATGAAAAAGATTCCATTGTATTGTGATTCCGAAAGCACAATACATATTTGTCATAATCCAGTGCAACATTCCAAGACAAAATAGATTTGTCTAAGATATGATTTCATCAAGGATCATGTTAAAGACATAAATGTTGAAGTTCATTTCATCAGATCCGTAGATTAATTAGCTGATATTTTAACAAAAGCTTTACCAGAAGTAACTTTTACATGAATATTGTAAGGACTGGGAATGATTGAAGCTAAATCTGTTTTGAAATCAACAACTTAGTTCCGATCATAATAATTGTTCACTTCCAAATCATTCTGAGCTTCAGAGGCTGTTTGAATTCACTATTTACTTTCCGAATCATTCTGAGATTCGGAGACTGTCTGAATTCACTATTCATTTTCCGATTCGTTCCAACCTTCGGAGTTAGTCCGAAGTAACTACTCACTTCAAAATTGGTTTGATCTTTGGAATTTGTAAGTATTTTGTTTTTGAATTTATTTTTCAAAAAATCAAAAATGCATATATATATATATATATATATATATATATATATATATATATATATATATATATATATATTGCATTTATTTTTCGAAAATTCAAAAATCCAAAAATATTTTGTTTTCTTTAATTTTGTATTTTAAAAAACCAAAAATACCAAAAAAAATATTTGACCTCTATTGAATTGACATTAAATTCATTTATGAATTTTAGTCTAAAACAAGGATTTGATGGTAGACATCATACTTTCTTTCAACCATAACTTTTCACAACATCCAAGTAGTCCCTTGATTATTGATGTAATACTTACTTCGGTATAGGGATACCACACAAGCACTTCTGAGTCTCTCTTGACTAATCAAAAGAATCCTTTCACAATTTCTTAACAAATTGGCAATTATAAATCAACAGGAAACCACACAAGCACTTCTGAGTCTCTCTTGAATAAAAAGGAAGAGGTCTTTTTCCCATGATCATACTGTTTTTCATATCAAATAATTTAGATATCCCAAATCCTACATTTTTTACAATTTGCTTAATTATTTCTCTTTCGCACACTCTTGCACTAAAATCCTAGTGATTTTACAAACTATGGTTTCTGTTTCAAATAGTGTTATAATTCCGAATATTAATCTTGATTAATTTCAATGGAAACTGTTTTGGCTTATGAAAAGATGAAAGGTGGATAAATGATTCAGAACTGCTGCAAATCAAAACGGACATGTTCAATTAATGATAATTCAAATCTTTTATATTCTTTCATGTATGCTTTGAAAATTCCAACGACATTTGACAGTTACAGGAATATGTTGAGTTGCATTCAGTTATTGGCTATAATCAAGACGTGATAGGCATGTGAAGAAGCGGTTTTCTCTCACCACTCATCAACTTTGATTTATAAGGAGGCTACACCATTTCATTTTCTACCATTTCAACTAAATCTCAAACGTTTACTGAAAAAAATTCTCTACTATTCATCATCTTCTTCAACAATTATGACTTCATCTGAGCATATTTCTTTTGTTGATCAGTTTGCTTCAACCATTATGTTGAGCATTAAAGCAAATCAAGACCTTATTTCTAATCTTGATGCTTCCAAATACAACACACTGATCAAGTCCTTAATCGAGTGTTTGCATTACACTCCATTGATGAAAGATATGACGATGAATGAACTTGTTTCACTTATTAATCTCTTATAGGCGTATTCTAGTGCAAGTTACAAAAAACCATTCGAGATTATTAATTTTGAAGTTGCTGGGCACAATACTTCAATCTTGGGAATTCATTTTGTCAACTGCTACAGCTCCAGTTATCTTCTGAGTCTGTTGATCCATAATCAATTCATGCTATAAAAATGATCGAGATTTTCTTCTAGGTGGTGTATACTTCTGACATTTTGTTGTTCTCTAAATTTAGAAAATCATTTTTGTCAGTGGTTTAGAATAGGTTGTTCACTATTTAAAAAAAGATTATCAGAGAGGGTTTCAGGATTTGGAAGTGCAAGCAAAATCTTTTACACACTAATATATGGGCTTTATACTGTAACAAAAGTTGATTTTGGTTCAGTGATACATAATCAGTCTGCACAGAGTATTAATTCGACCACTTGTCACATGCAAATTTTATGACCTAATTTTTTTATTGTTGTAAAGAGAGCTCTTCTTCAGTAGAAAGTTCTAGAGATGAAGGATTCATTGATGGTAGAAATTCCGATGATGCATACAACAAATTTTATCACTATAGATCCGAGGAATTTCAATTATGTGGGATCGATTCCTGAAGCAATGATGGAGAAAGTCTCTTTGAACAATGCAATCTAGGCATGAGCAAAAGAACCGAACCGGTCGGAACCGGCCCGAACCGGACCGGAACCGGGAACCGGCTTCGGCCAAAATTAAGAACCGAACCGGCCCGGCGGTTCTACCGGTTCCGGTTCCCGGTTCCTACCGGTTCTTGTCGTGTCTTCAAATGTTGGAACCGGTCCTTGAAAAATAGCATCATACGGTTCCGGTTTTTGCCGGTTCTACCGGTTTTTGCCGGTTCCGGTTCCTACCGGTTCCCGGTTCCAAAAATCCACAAAAATAATGTCCCGGTCCCGGCCCGACCGGTTCCATCGGGTTCCGGTTCCGGTGCCGGTTCCGGTTTCGGCCGGTTCCCCGGTCCATATGCTCATCCCTAATGGAATCATTATGGCTTATCAGAAATTTACTTCATCTGGTCTTCATGAAATTCGTATTGAGTTAAAGAAGATTGTTAAAGCTGGTGCTCTACCAAAGCGAGCAGGGAAAAGGAAAGCTGAAATAGTTGCAACTGCTGCTACGACTATTTGTAAGAAGCTTAAAAATATTGTGAAAAAACTAAATTCACCACCACCTATATTTGAGGATGATTCTAAAGAATGAACATACAACGTGTTGGAGGAGAAGCTGAAATCTGAAATGATGTATATGATACCGCTACGAATACTATAATTCCAATTGTTTTGGAAACTTCTATAATAGAGGCATCTTTGAAGGTATCTACTCCATAATCTTCATCTGCTCTTCCTGTTTCAGATATATTTGAGAACATTATCAATGAGCCATTTCTAAACTTATCTTAAACTCCAAAATCACCTTTTTCCCTACATCCACTTCTCTAATGACAACATCAATTCCGTTTTCATGCATTCCACCTTTACAAAAAATCAGTTTAGTAAATACATCTCAACCTCAGATTTCTATATCTCTCACAACTCCAATCTTTACTAAATCCACTACAAATCTGGAAAAAACCTCAACTGCAGTTCCACCAAAAGATCCTACTTTTGAATCCTATCAAGAGGAGAATAGGTCTTCAAAGATCCCTGGTAACACATCTAACATGGAATCAAATGTCAATATTTGTGTGACTACTGAGAACGTTTCTTCTTCAATTCCTAATTCTAATGATGATGAAGATGTCATTTTTGGGGATGACCCAGAACCCATTGATGATGTCATTTTTCTATCTTTTACTATGAGGGTTGCTAGTGATGATGATGATGCTCCGATTACGAAGGGTCAATTCAAAAAGCTGAATCAGAAGGTTGATTCCATTTTGAATCACACAATTACTTTTTCAACATCGAATTAGGAAAATATTATAAAAAATCATTTGGCTACAGTTTTGATATTAACTTCAACAAACTCAAAAGTTTATGAAGAAACAAACAAAATGGTTGAATCTTCTATAAAGAAGATTTCTGAAGCAGTTGAGAAAGTTGAGCAGCTTATGAATTAAGTAATGAAATTCATGCACGACTTCCAAACTTCTTCAAAAAAAATGTTGCTAATATGAAAAAAGTTATTGAAGGCTTTCGTACTTGTTTGCAATCTGAAAAAGAAGCTTTATCTACATTAAGGTTTGAAACACATAAGGACAATGCAGATCATCACACATCTATCTTAAATACGATTCTTCAAATACAGAATGATCTTGCAGTTGAAAATAGGATTAGGGATGAACTTGTTCTGCAAATTTAGAAGGTGAAAAGTCTGAAAGAGCAACTACAAAACACTTCTATTAATCTCAGAAAAATTCTAGAAGAGATGTACTTGATTCAATGAAGAAATTTTGAAATTAACAAACAATTGTTAACAATTGATGAAACAAAGGGTGCTCCATTTCTTAATTATGTGGGTCAGATAATAGATGGCAAGTTTAAACTAATCGTTAAGGAGTTAAATAAGCTTCAAGGTGTTTTGAGAAGTGGGGCTTATATTAAACAAGGGGGAGAACCAAAGGTGACTATTAAAGATCCATATTAGACAGGTTTTATGGAGAAATCAGATGATGCTGATAGGGTTGTGATATAAAATAAGAAGCTTTCAGAAAATATGAATAATATGAAAGAAGTCAAGACTGGTTGGAAGGTTAATATAACATCCAGATCAGGTAAAGGAAATGTAAATCTTGTTACAAAGGAGATTTCTGAATTAAATCCTCAGATGACTGAGAAGGAAAAGATTGAGAAAGAGGAGTGAGAGAAAAAAATCGGATGAGCTTAATGCCCTACAAGCGAAATTAGATGTGGTACACGTTGAGCTCAAGAATGCTGAGCAAATTCTTACAAGTAAGAAATCATTATTTCCTTAATGGATCCTTGATCGGATGCAGGAAGAAGCAATTGATGATCTGAATTTATTTTTGTTGGAACCGAAGACATTTTTTCATACTAACAAATGTTGAGTGTCAATTGGATTTTCCGATCACTCCTAGAGTTTTTCTCTTCCAATGATTCGAAAATATAGAGAAAGTTCCTTTATAAAATGTTACAATGAATAAGAAACTCTTTTCATTTTATCTGAAGTACTCTAAGCCATGGTAGGAATCCTAGAGTCTGAAGTGGATCGTAGGACTCAAGGTTGGGCTTCCTGAAAAGGCTAATCAGTTTTTGAGTATTACTTTCAAAGATTTCAAAGGACACAATCGCATCGTTTATGAGTTTACTTTGGATGATCCTTTATTTCTAAGTCATTTTGATTAGATTACGATGTTCAATATTGTTGACAATGACATGGTGATGTATGATCCAATTTATAACAATCTAATAAAATTGATCAGATGTTATATTCTTGAAATGACAAAGATGGATGTTGAGATTGCTTCGATGCTGAAGAGGAAACCAATTTTGAAGTCTTTTGATCAACCTGACAACATTGAAAATTGTAAGGATGGATCAATTGCTAAAGAATAATGGAGTATCATTTACAAGGAAAGAAAAAATGATGTGGTTAAGAAATTGATGATTTTCTTAAGAGACAAGCACTTGTATTCTACAGTAGCTCTAAAGCAAATATCAGCAAGAGCAGAAGCAAACAAGACAAATTCGATTGCAGATATGAAGTATCTTTCTGATATGATAAAGTGGTACATTGCCATCAAAATGACTATTTTGAGTATTATTTCAATTTTTTTGAAGATCATGAGTAAAAGAAATAAAGACTACAATGGCTACACATTGACATAAAGGGAGAGATTGTTAGGTTTCGGAAGTTGTTATTTCAATCTTGTAGTGTTCTGAATTGTAATAGTCTTTGTTTTAATTCTGAATTTAGTTGTTGTTTTTAGAATTTATGTATCCTTTCAAGTTACAATTTTCACGCTCGATACATAGAGTGCTTGTTAGTAGACTAGGTACGTTGTTCTCATGAGCATTTATAGAATGCTTCTGAACTCTTTGTAACGAACTGTTCTACAGTGCCTATTTATCAAATAAAATCTCATTTAATCATTGTTGTTCATATATTTTAACTCAGTTCTTTTGATAACATTTTCCTTATAGAATCTGTCGTTCCTAAAATTCTATCAGTAATGGTTTTGGAAACCATGGATTATCATATGATGGATATTCAAACTAACGATACACATATCCTCATGTGAACCATAACGGGAGGAAATATACCTTTAAGAACAGTTTGTGGTCCTCATTCTCAATCAAATGAAGAAGATAAGAAGTTAGAAAATCGATGTAAGAGAAATGAGAGCCAAATGTAATGCTCTACCGTACAAACTTTATCATATAGCGTTAAAATGTAACTCAACAAAAGAGATGATTGAAACCATAACTGCCATATGAAGGACCATAAAAAGTCAAAGTAAACCAAGAAAATAGTTTAAATCAAAGCTATAAATAACTTTTTACTTTGAAAATGAATTAATTAATTACACCTTCAAGCTATTTGATTATTTGATCAACTATATAAGAAAGCTAAACATCACCAAGTCAAATTATGTGTTAGTGCTTAATTTCTTGGCTCTTTGCACGAGAGTTGGGAACACCATGTAGATGTTCTTAAAAACATTGACAAGATCAAATCCATGGATCTTCAGACTCTTTTTGGAAACTCAAGGAACTATGATCAAGCCAAATTTTAGATAAGGGAAAATATCAAATACATGAAGGAAGATACCAAGGTAAAGTCTCCAATATGATTTCAAAGAGCAAAATGAATTGTAAAGAATCAACCAACTCAAATGATGAATTAGTAAAAACTGATACAGATAATGAAGTAATGACCGCATTTGTAGAGCTAGCTTCACAAGACGCTCTTATTGTTTAGTAGTATAATAGCTTCATAAAATCTAGTAAAATTTTCATAGATGGATCTACAAATTTCTCACGTGGCTGGAAATCAACTACTGAGAAAACCATATTTGAGGTTCGAACTGTGTGTCTATAACTTCCACTCTCTAGGTACCACGTTTGTCCTAGATTATTTAGAAATGATCCTTTGACAGTGTGAGAATCATCAACATCACTCCATCACATGAATCATTGATAAGAGTCATTAGATCCTTAACATTCAGCCCTTAATCTTCAGATGTCTCCTCTTCTTCCACCCATTGTTCATGATCATCTTTTTTTCCAATGAAAGATTTTGGTAGAGAGATATTTCATTCTTCATATGAGCCACCAACTTCTTGTACAATACTTCGTAATTTTTTGGACATAGAGCTTCTTCCTTATCCTTGCAGTCCCTAGCAAAGTCATCAGGGCTTCCACATCTCCAAATCAATTTCTCTAAATGGAGTTCTTCGAGTCTCATTTGATCTGCTTTCTTCATAATAGTTGACAATAAGAGCAGCGCTAGCAACAAGTTCATTAGTGAGGTATTCATCACTTTTTTCACCCTGATCTAAGTTCTGAGTCACTAATGTGCTTCATTGCTTCCTTTTGAGACACCAGAGTAATAGACTTTTCATTTCTTAAGTCCTTCATGATTTCTTTTCGAAGATCTTTTGTCTCTACATAATTTTGCAGATCACCTAACAAGGAGCTCAGATCCATCGATCTTTTTACCATTCTTAAGAACATAAGCGTGATGTTCCTAGCTTTTTCCAAGATAGTCGAGAGACTTTAGAACTAACTGAGATGAATGATTTATGATTCCTAACCGGCACATATTGTTAACCAAGCACGCAAACCTATTGAATGTTTGAGTAAGCGACTCACATTGTTGATAAAAGAAATGTTCATGTTTCTAATTAAGGTTGTTAATGATTGTGGCCTGGACTACTATGGTTCCTCTATAATCCATTGTCAACGTATCTATCATCTCTACAGCAAACTCATAATTTTGTACCAGATGATACATGTGGTACTGAAGAGAGTTTCCAATAGCATCCCATGCTTTCACATCAAGACTAAGCACTCTCTTGTCATTGTCATCATTACTCGTCTCAGGTTTTTGCTTCAAGGAGCAAACTGGAGCATTATTAACCATGGGTTGATACATAGGAACGTGAGGTCCTTTTTCAATATTCTTACGCATCTCATAGTCCATGGTTTCTAGAACAACTACAATTTTTTTTCTACATAGGGAAGTTGTGTTCATTGAAGGGAGGAATTTTATTGAGACCAAAGGATTTGGGATTTTTGGAAGTCAACATGATTACTTAAGTGTATCAAAAACCTGTTCTAATACCAAATGAAGTGGATCAGACAGACTTCAAGTATAAAGAACGAAAGTAAACTTAATAAAAACAAAGAACAAAAAGTAAATAACATAGATAGTTCTCAAAATTCTTCTTTCACCAAGTAAGGGCTTTGTCTTCACCAAGAGGACGGTCTGTCACCAAGAAGATTACAACACCAAGTCGTGTTCACATTATGGTTTCATCCGAATGTCGAATATATAATGATCTATACAATTATATTCGTTAATTAAAAGCGTTGTATCTTATCTATACTTAGAACAGATTATTATCATAAGGATATCGGATCGGCTATCCGTTACATATATGTGTATATATATATATATATATATATATATATCATTACCTAATATAAAAAGGATTATATATAATAACTATACTAAACACTGACATTGATAAGCTTACTAAGCTGGATATGATAGTATAGATGCTGATGCTGACACATAGCATGTAGGAGTGTTTGACTCATCAGATCATAAGGTGTGAACTTACAAATTTTGTTGCTCAAAAAGGTAAACAAGTGTATAAACTATTGTTCATTGCTAAAATGAGTAAATAAGTTTGCATAAATAGTAGTTCATTGCTAAAAAGAGTAACAAGTTTATAAATATTAGTTCATTGCAAAAATGAGTAACAAGGTTATAAAATGTAGTTTG